GAGAGTGAAAATTCTCTTTGAATAAAGTCACTCCAGTGACTTTATTACTTCTCTCTGAGCTCGAATCTTCCATGTCTTTAGTCTCCTTAACTTCATTTTATAGTCTTACATTTCCCACCCTTTTTTTGCCTAAGCCTCTGCCTTTCATTAGTGCCCAGATAGTCAGCGAGACCCGTAGAGTGAACTGGGTAGAAGCTGACACTCACCCAACCCATTTCTGTTTATTCCTCTGTATTCCTGAGTGTAGGATAACACTGTTCTGTCCTTCCTGCATAACCTCAGGAATAGTTGATAGTTTATTGGACTGAGGAAAAGAGAAAAACACCTTTAGTGGTATCTTGCCCTTGAGCAGTCAGGAAGGGCTTTCTTACGTTGATTTGGCTACCTGACTGGGTGGAGTGTCAGCCCAGAATTGAAGGGAGCTGGAGAATGAGAGAGGGTCCGAAAGATGGACCACGGAGAGACTAGCAAGGAGAACTTGTGCTTGAGAGAACCTAGGCCCTCCATAACATAAATTTCTTCTATGGGATAAACTTTCTTGTGATAAACTGCTACAAAGATCAACCGGCCTGGCCCTCATCTCTTCCTTCGTCTGCCCTTGGCCAACAGCCCTCCCGATGCAGGCCACACACACTGGCTCTAGGGCACCGAACATGGTCTGTGAGATAGAGCCGTCCAGAGAGCTCGCGAACACACAACCTTCTGCGTGCATAGTTTTTTACACCTGAGTTTTCTGTTATGATCTTAGGAAAAATGTCCCTCTATAGAGAGGAAAGACAAAGCAAACAAACACAAGTAATGTAGAGGTGAGAAGGCAGAAATGATAGAACAGGGACAAGGTTGGCAAAAGAGAGAAAGTTAAGATAAAGAGAGTAAAGACAAAATTCTAGAGAACTAAAAAGCTAAATCTTAAGCATAGCTAAATTAACACTTTGATTAGTGTGAACAGCCACTTGAACCTTATTGATATAATCTGCTTGCATAGCACTTTTTCCTTCCCTGTGAAAGGGCACATTTCAGCTCAGCATCTTTTGATTTGCCACAAGTGGTAAATCAGCCACAGCTTTGTTAATAATGAGGTTTTAACATTCTGCCTTACATATTGATGAGATAAAAAATGCATATGCATATAGTCTTCATAGTTGGTGATTAGAAAAAGATTATCAGTTTTGAAGATAACAGTCTAGCATAAGGCTGGAGAGTACAGCAGAGATATCTTAGGTGCGACCAGCCTGGGTTTGATTCCTGAAACTACATGCAATCCCCCCAGTCCTATCAGGGGTGATCCCAAAGCACTGCTGGGTGTAGCTCCAAATCTAAAGACATAAATAATAATTGAATATAGTGAATTTGGGCCTGGAGCGATAGTACAGTGGGTAGGTCATTTGCCTTGCACACGGCCAACCTGGGTTCGATCCCCAGCATCTCATATGGTCCCCCTGAGCACCGCCAGGAGTTCTTCCTGAGTACAGAGCCAGGAGTAACTCCTGTGCATTGCCGGGTGTGACCGGAAAAAGAGCCAAATAAATAAATATAGTGAATTTAATGATAATAGTGATGTACTTGAATTTACTTCAGAATAAATTTAGGAAATAAAATTTAAAATTCTACATATACATCTGTTCTGTTTCATTTTGGTTTGATTTTGGGTCACAGCTGGCAGTTCTAGAGCTTACTCCTGATTCTGCATTGAAGAATCACTCCTGGCAGTGCTTGAGGTACCATAAGGGGTACTGGGAATGGATTGAACTCACATAGGCCTGCTCTGCTATCCCCCCACCCCCTACATCTGTAGTGTATGAGGCCAGTATCCAATGGAAATATATGTAGCTTTCCCATACCAACAAGCAATGAATTGAAGAGTCAGTGTGTTCAAAAATTCAACTCATTAGTATGAATGAGACTACTGCCCAAAGACAGTAGAAATGAGGGCCACAAGGACTGGTCCATGGTTGGAAGATTGCCACAAGTGGGAAATAGTGGGGAGTGCAGTTAGGATAGAGAAGGGACCGCTATGACAATGATAGTTGAAAATGTGACCACTCAAGAACTGAGTGTTGAACACAATGGGATATATATAACCTTTCAGTATCTGTATTGCAAATTGTAACATGAGAGAAGGATAGGGGAAGGAGAGGGGGAGAAGTGTCAAGTGTCTGCCATGGGAGTGGATTGGGGTTGGTGGTAGTAGGAGGGAGTGGGGGACCTTGGTGGTGGGAAATGTACACTGGTGAAGGGACCAGTGTTGGAACATTCTATGACTGAAACCCAATTATGAACAGCTTCGTAACTGTGTTGTCTCATAGTAATTCAATAAATAAACAAACAAATAAACAACAGTAAAAAGACCTCAACTCAATCCAGCATTCTGTCACTGTCACTCCCGTTGTTCATCGATTCGCTCTAGCGGGCCCAATAACGTCTCCTTTGTGAGACTTGTGGTTACAGTGTTGGGCATATCAAATACGTCATGGGTAGCTTGCCAGGCTTTGCTGTATGGGCGAGATACTCTCGGTAGCTTGCCGGGCTCTCCGAGAGGGGCGGAGGAATTGAACCTGGGTCAGCCAGGTAGGCCGAGTGCAAAGCAAATGCCCTACCCACTGCGCTATCGCTCCAGCCCGATTCCAGCATTATCTGAAATAGCTTCAGGTTGCACAGGCGAAGGGCTCGTTTTCCAAGACTGCCCTCCGCTTCAGATACTATTTACAATCTCTAGCTGCGTCTAACCAGCTGGCTCCTCTCTGGACCTAGACCTGCATATACAGAAGCCTTGCTCCTGAGCAACATCCACTGACCTGGCCTACATGGCAAGTGTAGACTCTCAGACACATTTCCTGTTCACTGAATCAAAAGCTGCATTTTTAACAGGCGTTTCAAATGATTCAGTTGCACATTAAAATTTTAGAAGCCTGACAGCAGTCCTCTAATAATATGTTAGCTTCCTGGTCTCACACAGGTCAACCTGGTCTCATTGGTTGACTTGTCATTTTTCCTCCAGGTGGTTCCACTTGATACTGATTGACTTTAGGAAGGGTAGAGGTGTTTTGGGCTCCAGGTGGGGTTTTATTGTTTGTGTTTTTTTGTTTTGTTTTTTACTCTTGAGAAGTAGAAATTTATGGTAGATCAAACTCCCCCCGGTTTATTTGGGGAAGGTGCATATGCTGAAGCACAAGGGGGTCAGTATGGGGACAGAATTCTACCAGGCAGGAAGAAGGTGATTGTGAGTGGGTAAACTTGTGTTGGGACACATGGGTGGCTTGTACGCTCTAGTCAGTTTGGCTCTTTAGTGGACCACTTGTCCAATGAAGTACAGCTTCTCATTAATGATCATTGCCTGCCACATATCTGTGCTGTTACATCCCTGATGGGCACTGGCTGATGGCTACAGTTAGCTTGGGCCAGGGCTGTTTTTTCAGGCTTTGTGAGACAAGGTTTGGGAATGTTCCTGGTCGACAGTGGGGGAAGAGGGGTGATCTTGCCAGTATGTAGAAAGCAGGATGTGTGGGAATGATAGGATGTCAGTGGCTGTGCAAAAAATGTTTTCTCTCACGAGTCACTTTCTATTTCAGAGGGAAAAGTGATGGTTTTAAGCTTATCCCTAACACCTGAGTATTTATCACAGGATTCTTGAAATGTTACCGTGATCCTTGCCACAATTTGACTTTTTAGGCACTATTTTCTCTGGAAAATATAAAACTATTAGTTTATATTTTATATAAACTATATTTATAATATATATTATATATAAACATATATAATATATATTTATAATAGTTTTCAGTCAGTCTCTCAGTTCACTTTTTTGGAACCATGTTGACATCAAACCCCCGCTTCTAAGAAGTAGAGCTGACTTGCTCTATAATGCTTAAATGCCCCTTTGAAATACTACTTCCATTCCTCATTTCCCTTTGATTTTTACCTTTATATTTGTCTAAAATACTGAAACAGACTTTTCAAGATCCAGGGTAGTAATTTGGCACTAAGTGGGAGTTGTAGGGCCCTATATTATTCAATATATAAAATTCTTTATGGATTCTGTTTTTAGGTTGTATAATTTTGTATTTTCTTTTTAATTCGATATTTTTCATTCTATTGTACTCTTTGATGAAGAGCAAATAAGAAAGAACATGATAATCTAAACCCAACACTTATTTGACTGTTTTAACTATTAGTTTTATATAGTTTGTTTTTGGGGTCACCTCCAGCAATGCTCAGGGATTACTCCTGGCTCTGCATTCAGGAATTACTCCTGGAGGTGCTCGAGGGACCATATGGGATGCCAGTGATCAAGGCCGGGTTTGGGTAGCATGCAAGAAAAATGCCCGACCCACTGTACTGTTGCTCCAATCCCATTTGATGAACTTATAAATGAATAGTGTATATATCTTAATTTTGGTTTAAGAATTTGGTTTTCTTATTGGAGGACTATCAATGAAAATGATGTAAACCATTTTGTAGGCAGTGTGATTTGTAGTACTTTGAATGACAGGGTTTCATATTTGCAAAATTTCAACAGCACACTCTCCATCAGAGTATTTGCTTCTCCACATTTTCTCACTCTCCCCTCCCAGGTCTCTTGCCCCTGCCCTTGATATGTTCAAGCATCAGTATTTCATGAAATTTAATGAATACTAGTCTCTAAGATTACAATTGACTGTGATGTAATATACCTAAACTGAAGTGCTGTCTGCTTTATCATGTGTTATTATCCACTGTTCCCTGATTCCCTGTAGATGTATTACTATACAGCACTGAAAATTGTTGAATTATGCAGCTTTGTTTTCTGGGGGGTGTTAATAGTAGCTCTCTGTAATAAACTAGTAGTAAGAGATCACACCCTTTCCCTTAGTTGTAACCAGTGATTCAATCTCTGTAATTATCAAATTGGTGTGATTGATAATAAATGCCTAAAAGAAAAGTATTTTTCTATCCTCCTGAATTTTTTTTTAAATAGTACTTTAGTAATTAGTGTTTTCTTTCTTTCTTTTTTTTTTTTTCAGGTGCGCTTTGTAAAGAATATAACTTCCTGGAAAGAGATGAAACCAGGCTTTTATCATGGACATATTTCTTATCTGGATTTTGCAAAGTAAGTGATGCTTAAAATGGCACACAAGAAAATGTGTTGTGCTTTAGAGATTAAAAAGGAAAGAATTGTGATTTTGGTTTTTTAAAAAAATGTGCTTGTTTGCTATGTAATTTAAATATTCCTGCCAGTGCACTACTGCCCTCTAGTGTTCATAAATTGATAATTGTCATTAATAGTTAAAATCAAGGTAGATTGTAGGAAACACGATTAAAGTTGTTTATCATTATTATACTTCTTTCTGGCACAGTCAGATTAAGCTATTTTAATAAAGCTGCAGGTTTTAGCCAAGGGGCTAAGCAGAATTTGACACATCACTGAGAGTCGAGAAAACAGTAATCATTAGTTGTTGGGGCCCCAGTGCAGCTGCTTCTCAACTAAGACGCAGTAAAGTATACACTTTTCCTAGCTACCTTTTTATACTCCTTAAAATTATGATATATTCCCCCCAAACCTTACTGTTTTTACATTCTCTTCATAGTAACTTTCCAGAAACAGGAGAAAAATAGAACTAATTCTCATATTTTGGAGAAAAATCACAATAATTTTCTTAAGAAAAGTTTACAAAAGGCTTGCTTTTCTCTTTCAAACACAGGCTCCCTGTAGAATTTGTGCCACATTAAGTACTAATCAGAAAACTGGTCAAGAGGAACATTCTAACATATGAAGGTTGTGAATCCATCTTAAGTGTTTTTGAACAAAACATGGAGACTTCATAGCAAAGCCTCAAATCCACAACTTTTCTTTAGAAAGATTCTGTGTTAACTTAAAAAAAAATTAGAAATATTTTTGATATTTTTCAGTTTAAACATGTTTCTAGGCTCAATCCTAGAATTTCCCAAAATATATCGTTTCCTTAGTCTTTTCATAAGCTATCAATACTTCAGTGTCCTACATCCTGTGTATTTGACAGTATTAAAGAATATTCTGTGTAAAACTGAAAAATTAAATCAATAATTCCAGTTAGATTTTTTAATTTGAGAAAAGGGATAAATGCCTTATTACTAATTTGCAGTTGATAATAAATCCTTGCTCTTTTAAAAGCTTGTAATTAAAAAGGAATCTCTGAGATATTGCACACATAAAACAATATATTATTTCTAGTTCTTTCTACAGTACTCAAGATTCAATAAAGTGATAACTTTAAAGTTAGATGTACATTTTTCTATAAATAATTCATAACACAATATTGAAAATGTTTTATAGGCAGCTTTAAAATAAACTAATTATTTTTTCTTTACAGTGGCATTGAACCAATTTCATAAACTTCATTCATATGCATATTTTCCCTCGGGGTTGTATTATCCTTCAATTGAATGTTTGTTACCCTTTCACCTAAATGATTTATTTTTTTTCCACACAGAGCTTGGTTTCTAATACTTGAAGTTTTCATTATTAAAATAATATATTGAGTGTTTTTGCTTTTGGCAAAAGTCTTACACTTAGAATGGAGCTCTGGTATATGCTGGAGTACTTGGCAGTTGAAAAAGTATAATGCTCTTTAAAAGATTAATCTCATTTATTAAAAACTAACATGCACATATAAGGGTTTGGAGATTTTCATAATGGATCTCATGTTATTGAAATAGAAAGGTATTGTGAATATTTTAATAGACTTTTATAAGATTTTAGCAAATACCTTAAAGATCAACTATATATCACATATATATGAGCTTTTGTAGATGTAACTATTATAGATGTAACTAGAATCTTTGAAAATACTTTTAGTTTGAAAGATATGGTCACTGTGAATGCGCAAAGGTGTGAAAAGAAACATCATCTTACCAAATTTTAAATCACTTTATTTGAGAATATTTTTGACTTCTACCTTGTGGAGTCCATTAAAATGGTTGCCTTCAGGGAGAGAAAATGATGGAATTTGGTGAAAGAAATAATTAATCACATAGCTTTTCAATTGCTTTAGCAGATTCTAAAAGGAATATAAACCAAGGAAACTCCAGGACAACCAGGAAGTAAGAGAAAAACAAAGCAAGATGTCTTTTGCAGTTTAGACTGAACACTAAGAAGCACACCTTATTTTGTAAACTCATGTTTGCTCTGACCATATCTTCTCTTATTCAGAACTTAACAATAATAGCAAAAAATAGCAAACATTTATGTCACAAATTTGGAACTTAGCACTTAAAATTGTAGTGGTTAGACTTTTTCAAAATTTCCTGGGCTGTAGGTAATACAAAGTTGAATAAGTTGCAGTTCATTATCCATAAGTTCCTCGCCAACCCACTTTCTATGAGTTCCTTATGTTTTAATATAGAGTGAAAACATTAAGTAACCCACCCTTTAATTCACCCATTTATCAGCAGTATACATTGCCAATGCTTTCATTTATTTAAGCATGACAGCATACCTTTTAAAATATGTTTCAGTAACATTTTCCTTTATAATGAACAATGTTCAACTAAACGAAAGTCACCCCCACCCACCTCCTTATTGTTGTCATTGTGGTGCTCACACATTTAGTTGTACTATTTATCCAGGATGGCTTATCAGATTGCAGTGCTTGCTTGCCTGGTGTCCAGTGCTCTCCGAATTTCACTACAAAATTTCACTGTCTGTAGTTGTGGTGCTCACACAGCTGGCTGTGGTGTGATCAGAAATCTTAGCAGAAGGGCTAGAGTGATAGCACAGTGGGTAGGGCATTTGCCTTGCACGCGACTGACCTGGGTTTGATCCCCAGCATTTCATATGGTCCCCCAAGCACCACCAGAAGTGATTACTGAGTGCATGAGCCAGGAGTAACCCTTGTGCATTGCTGGGTGTGACCCAAAAAGCAAAAAAAAAAAAAAAAAAAAAAAAAAAAGAAAGAAATCTTAGCAGATCTCTCAGTGTCAATCCAGCACATGTGGTAGTCCCAGGGTTTCAACTTATGCTTGCTTTTCAAATATTTTATTTTATTTTATTTTATTTTTGCTTTTGGGTCACACCCAGCAATGCTCAGGGGTTACTCCTGGCTCTGCACTCAGGAATTACTCCTGGCGGTGCTTGGAGGACCATATGGGATGCCGGGGATTGAGCGCAGGCCGGCAGTGTCCATACCCGCTATGCTATTGCTCCGGCCTTGCTTTGCAAATATTTTAAACTGCTGAGCTATATCCCTGGACCCCAAGAAATTAAGTTTAAAGCTAGTCTTGATCAGATTCTGCTAATTGTTTCTTTGGTTTCGGTGCTGGCAATCTAACCCAGGTCCTCCACATGCAGGGCAATCAACCATGAAGTTATTTTCCATCTCTTAGCATGATGCTCTTATTTTTAGCCAATTTGATAGACTCATCTGTAGATAGATCCATACTGATTCCATTAAATTGATGCACACAGTATCTAACAATTACCAGTTTTTTGGGTTCTTTCCAGTTTTTGGTAATTGAGTGAAGCTACTAAAAAACATTTGCATACAGGTTTTGTGTGGACATATGTCTTCATTTCTCTTGGGTGAAAACCTGTAATAGGATTACTGGATTATATGGTAACTCTAAGAAATCTGCCAAATTGTTTCCCCAGATGACTGTATTATCTTGCAGATGGGTTATTGTGATGATGCATAAGAGATGAGTTCCCTTTCTTTTTTCCATAGGGCCCCACCCAGTAGTGCAGGTGGCACTCTGAGTGATACTTGCCTGGTGGTACAGACTGTCTGTTCTGTACTGAGGCTCACAGTGCCAGGGGCCACTGGATCCTACCTGGCAGTACTTGGGAGCTGCCCAGGATATCCCCCATGGTGTTTGGAGTGGGCATGTGGCTTTGAGATCCAGTTCAGGGCCCCATACTTGCTAGGCAAATGCTATTCCACTTGAATTATCATCCAAGCTCTGAATTTCTTTTTTCTTTCCTTTTTCTTTTTGGCTTTTTGGGTCACACATGGCAAGTTCTCAAGGCTTACTCCTGGCTTTGTGCTCAGGGATCACTCTTGGCAAGATCAGGGAACCTTATGGGGCTCCAGAGATCAAACCCAGATGGGCTTACGTGCAAGGCAAGTGCCCTAGCTGCTGTGCTATCATTCTAGCCCCTGAATTCCTTTTTCAGGAGAAAATTATTCATAAATAATGTATTCATATTATTAATGAGACCAATAAATACCAGCAAGTGATTCACTATTTTTGAAACAAGACAATGGGAACTTATTACTAGATAATTTTGAACATTTATATGAACCTTTTAGGGTTCGTAGAGTTTGGGATAAATATGTAGAACATATCAGCATCCCCAAGAAGTCACTTAACCAAAGGTTGGTATCTAGTAGGAAGTAGAAAGCATAATCTTTCCCACAGGCTATTCAGCCATATATATTTTTAATTGAATCATCGTGAGATAGTGCATTACAAAATTGTTCATGATTGCATTTCAGTTACACAGTGTTCCAACACCCATCCCCTTCACCAGTATAATTTTCCAGCACAAGTGTCCCTAGTTTCCCTCCCACCCCTTCAAGTCACCCTCCACCCCAGCCTGCCTCTATGGCAGGCACCTCTTCTCTCTCTCTCTCTCTCTCTCTCTCTCTCTCTCTCTCTCTCTCTCTCTCTCTCTCTCTCTGCCATCTTTTAACTTCATCATCGTCCACATAGGCATTGCTTTAACCAGTTGATAAGACTCCTTTCAAATATTTTGGGTATGCATGTGTTAACTCTTAACTTTTTTTGTCAGTTTTGGGGTCACACCTGTTGGTGCGTAGAGGTTACTCCCAGCTCTCTGCCTCTCTGCTTGAGGATACTCCTGGTCAGGCTCACAGTCATATATTGATGGTTATTTACCCTGGCCTCCTGCATGCAAAGCAGATACTCAGCCCAATGACTGGTCTTTTCCTGGTCCTCTTTTAACCATTCTTGATGTTCATATATTTTTTCCAAGCTGTCCATCAAGTGTTGATGCAAAGAAATGATGCTGGTTTGCATCCTTGCCCTGTCATGCCACAATGAGAGTAAGGTTCCTTAAGAGTCTTCTTACCAGCCTGCCCTGGTATTGATTCTCTTATAACATCACAGATTCCTACCAAGTGTGTGCTTCTCCTCTTAGGAAAGTCATGTTCTAACAAGCCAACAGTGGCTTATTTTCTTGGAGAAAAGATGGGTTTTTCTACTCTGTCACCTGAGCCCTCTTGGAAACAACTTGACTGATTATCCAGGATAAAAGGCAGAATCTGTGTCCAGAGACCACATTTCCTCCTATACAAAACTACATCCTCAGCAAAAGAGTTAACCTAGAAACCTAACAGGGTGCTTGTTTTCTAACCATCTGAACTGACCATCGCCTATATGTGATGTTGTTGTTATGCCTATTTACTGTTATAATTCCATGCCTTTATGTCTATACACTAAACTATAAAAATAGTTTTTAATAATTCCAGAATGAATTCACACATATTAGCACTAGAATCATGCTACGTACATAAATATGCCACCCAAATCTGGGTGAGCTGCAGATAATCAAAGGGACTTGGTCACAATATTAGCTGAAGGATAAAGGAAAATGAAGTGTCTGCCTCAGTGTTTCAGAACCCTTTTTCCAGTTATGGCCCCCTTCTGACCACGGCCACCTTTCAGCTTGGTTTCCTTCCTGTAATCCCCAGACCTAGTCCCTAAACTCATGATGTGGTCCCCCATTCACATGGTTTCCAGTTGTGGCTGCTTTGGAGTACCCTGGGCCCTACCACATCCCCTTCATCATCCCCCACCCCGCCATTGGAGAAACCCTGACCTAGAATTATAAGCGGAAAGTGGGGACATCAGAACAGTGCCCGCTGGATAATTCTAGGGCTGGGCTGCTTAAACTTACCCCATTCATGACCCCTGTAAGTCTCGTTTTTGTGTGACCTCAGGATACAAATCAGATATTTACCAATATTAAGTCAGAAAGAAATACCTTTTAGGGGCTAGAATATTAATACAGGGCATTTAACTTGCACACAGTCTATGCCAGTTCATTCCCTGACCACATACAGTTGTCCAAGCCCCACCAGGAGTGATCCCTGAGTGCAGAGCCAAGAGTAAGCCCTTGGGTTTACTGAGCACCAATAGGCTTGCAACCCTCCCTCCCTTCTGGGGGGGGGACGGGGGAAGAAACTTATTTTAAAATTAATTTTTTTAAGGTAACTAGCTGTAGGGCGTTCCCTTACAAGCGGCCAACATGGCCGACCCGAGTTCAATTCCTCCGCCCCTCTCGGAGAGCCCGGCAAGCTACCGAGAGTATTCGATATGCCAGACACAGTAACAACAAAGTCTCCAATGGAGACGTTACTGGGCCCGCTCGAGCAAATCGACGATCAACGGGAGGGCCTTAAGGTAACTCCATGTTGTGCTGTAAGCCGCAGTTTAAAAAGACAAGTTCTAGTATGCAAGAGTTATTAGGGTAAAAGCCTTCTGTGTTCTTTTAATTTGTTTTATCATTTCTAAAGAAAATAATGCTGAAAGCATGTCTTTTACTTCCACCTTATCATTAAAATCAGAATAATAGTGGATTCAAAATGGCTCGCTGGTGCAGACTTACGCTCTGTCCTTTGAGAATGTTTAGTTAGGTAGGTTAAAAGTGAGAAGTTATTGCTATATAAAATTAAAACAGTTTATGTAATTTATGCTAGTAACGCACAAAATTATTTCTTACTTGGTTTTCTCTACAGTGATCATTTTACATTCTTACTTTCTTACATACTGCTTTGTGATAATCATAAATTCTGTCCCAATTTCTACAGAATATATTTTATATTCTTTCCATAGAGAAATAATAGCTCAAACTTACACTTTTCAGAACACCCCTGTACAGAATGAAAAGGTCAACTTCACAGTTTAAGTTTTGTTTGATTTCAGGTTTGGTGTGAAGAAGAAACCAATTTACATTAATGTCATAAGGGACCCTATTGAGAGGCTCGTTTCTTACTATTATTTTCTGAGATTTGGAGATGATTATAGACCAGGGTTAAGGAGACGAAAACAAGGAGACAAAAAGGTAAAACTTTTAAGATTTTTTTATAAAGGCAATTGTTTATAAAATAAAATAAACAGGATAGCTTTAGATTTTACTTTTGATTGTAAGTGCACTACTTGGTTATTTTGGAAATTTGGGGCCAGGAAAGGGGTTTGAGCCACACCTGGCAGTGCTCAAAGGCTACCCCCCATTCTGTATTCAGAGATTGGATCATGAGATGTCATAGATCAAACCCAGACCTCCTGCATGCAAAGTATGCACTCAGCCCTTTGAGCTGTCTCTCCAGCCTTTATTCTGAAATTTAAAAAAAAAAATTTATTGGTAAAAAGCAAAAGTAAAATGATATTAGCTGGTATTTTGGAGTCTATGTAAATTTTGTGATTTTTTAAAATTCTTTATCTGGGTGGGTATTGGCTCTTTTGTAGTCTTATTAACAGTTTTCCCTGAGATCATTAAAATTATTAATTAATGTTGCATATGTATTTTGTTTCCCTTTAATCTTGATGATGGCAGTTTGTATTGGTTTGTGATTATCTGTTGAGGGAATACCACTTTGCTGTTTTTACAGCCAATGGAAAAGAACAATAATTTTATTGGCCAGTTGAAGATCCCTTGTCTTTTAGTGAGTGATCCAGGCTTCGAGAGCCCCCGTCCAATTCTCTGTTTCTCAGGAATTGGCTTTGTGGTGTTTGAATTATTTCCTTATGTATATGCATTTCCTAAAGGTTACACACTTTCTGAAGCAGGGACTGTGTTTTATTCATCTTTGTTGCCCCAGTGCAATGCTCTAGATTTAGTAAAGGGTTAAGTGAATGAATTCTGTGCCTTATAAACCTGAGTGTTGATAGTAGTTGTGCTAGATATTTGACATATTATGCTAATTTACACACAGCAATTAATATCTTTCCATAAATTAGATCTGTTCGTGCTCAAATGAGAGGGACTAGTTTCTTGCTTATTTTATTGTATTTTCTAGAAACTGTTCTTTCTTCCCTTAGAAACTTCAGGCAGAAGGTATTATTCTAAACAGAAATGATCAAAGTTTATTTCAGCTACTTCAGCATTATTTAATCTTAAAAAAATGTGCACTTATTTTATTGTGGTGAGTCTCCAAAGATTTTTGTAAAGTCTAATAATTTTACCTTTTTTGGCATGGTAATTTAGAATATATTTTGATTCATTTCTAAAGTTATTTCAATGTTTATTATTATTTAGTTTTTTTAAAGCCATATCATTCATTTATTGTAACAATATGCTACTTAAATCTATAGGAGAAAAAATGTTCCAATGTTGCATATTCACAGATTTTTTTAAGCCATGTCATTGATTGTAACAGTATGCTGCTTAACATCTATAGGAGAAAAAAATCCCAGTGTTGCATATTCAATACAGAAAACTATTATGAATGCATAGCTTTGATTTAAAACATGATAGGCAGGTGCTTGAAATATGTAAAATGCACATCTTGTTTATATGAAATTCTTGGTTGGATACCTGGTACCACAGTCCTGGTAACCAAAACACAATTTTATATATATATATATGTGTGTGTGTGTGTGTGTGTGTGTGTGTGTGTGTGTACATGCATACATTAAAAAAAGTAAACCAAATTAAGCACATATATATCATGGGCAGGTTTTGTTATGTTTTGTTTGGGGGCCACATCCAGCAGTGCTCAAGAGGATTATTCCTGAAGGTGCTCAGGGAACCATCTGAGGTGCCAGGATTCAAACCAGGATCTGCTGCATGCAGAGCAGTCACAATAACCCCTCCATTGTCTCTCCAACCCCTACACATGTTCTTAAAATGAAAAAGAGAAATTACTTTGTTTTATTTTAGGTAGAATGAGTCATTTATTGTTGAATCATTAAAACATGCACTTAATTTTTTTTTCTCATTAGAATCCAACCTTTGAGTTTTCTCATTGAGAAACCAGCCTTCCTCAAAGATTAGTTATTATTCTGGAATGTAGCAGTATTTTATTTCATAAAAGTTCTAAATATAAACTGACAAGACTTATCATTAATAAACTCTTATCTGTAAAGTTGATAATGCCATTCAACTTTTTAAAAAAATGCCTGCTATACTAAGATAAGTGGGTATTAAAGGTGACTATGAATATGTGAGAAATATCTTTTAAGGGTAGAAATTGGTAATAACTTGCAATGACTACATTTCCAAAAATGCAGTCCAAAAATCTTTTTTTTTTAACTCAAGTGATATTTTAAAGCATAGTTAGAGAATACTCAGTTCAGTACTCATGCTATTATGTTTTAAAGGAATATTCCAGTCATTTTATTTTGAAGATTTCAAATACATTTTTTAATAACTAAAACTTTACTTAATTTAATCTCTGCCAGAACTAGGAAAATAAGGAAATTAAATAATCCAAAGGTAAACATTGAAAAACTGTGAACTGTAGAAATAAAAGTTTCCAGACTTTTAAGAACATTTTCTACTTAAAAATCACTCAGAACCCTTTTTTTGGTTTGTTTTACAGTACCAGTGATTGAACCCAGGGCCTCACACATTTGAGGCATATGCACTACCACTAGCTCTCTGAAAATTCACTTTAAAATTTATTAAGAACCCTGAAATGGCTTTTGTTTATATTAACTACGTCTATTGAAATTTACCAATTTACTGGGTAATTCTTTAAATATTAATAAAAATTAATAGTATAAAGCCTGCCTATCCTGATAGCATACTATCATTCAAATGATCATCTTCCAGAATTAATATTTTAAATTTTTGCAAATCTAAAAAGTATTTAACTTAATACAGTTAGCTGGATTTGGTGGGATGGGGGCCCGGGGGTAGATAAAGGGACCTCCCAAGCAATGTTCAGGGATGCAGGGGCCACTCCCAGTCCTACTCAGCGAACAGGACCAGGCTATTCAATGCTAGGACCTTAGCGTGTAGATCAGTCCATCGTCTGCCTCCAGGGACCAACTAGGACCACCTTGGCAGAACTTTGTGGGCCATGTAGTTTCAGGAGTCTAACCAGAGTCCCACACCTGTGCTTTTGACCCTAGCCCCAAGAGCTGGAGTTTTACATCTGCTGCTTAATTAGCCTATTAAATATCCTTGAGTCAAAGTATATAAAGAAAATCCTATTTTATGAATACATGTTTTAGAAAAAAAGAGGACTTTTAGTAGCTTTTTCAGAAATTCACAGATTTTTTTTTTCTTAGTCTCTTAAGGTTATCTCAGAATTGAATGTAAACTCATGGGAGGGAACTATACGCTCTGCTACATTATAATCTGTTGGTATAACACTTTAGAGCTTTTAACTGAACTTAATTTATTTATTGGGGGGGGAGGCAGAGGGGCGGGGCACCTGGCAATGCTCAGGGGTTACTCAGTTATTTCTGGCTCTGCACTCAGGAATCACTCCTAGCAGTGCTCACGGGATCATATGGGATGCCAGAGATCAAACTAGGTTGACATCGTACAAGGCTAGCTCCCTGATACTGTACTATCACTCCAGCTCCTGAGCATAATTTTATAAGATTACGTATTTGTCATTTGAATCGCAGTAGTTTGTTTTGTGTTATATGAACTGTCCAAATTTTAACACCTCTTAAACAGTATCCCGAATTCACATTTATTAGTATTATCAGAGTCTCATCAGAAAAGTTTTAAGTATTAGGAAACTGTCAAGCTTATAGTAGCAGATAAAAATCTTCTAATAGACCCAGGAAGACAGTCCGAAAGGTTGGAATATATATCTTCCATGCACCCACCTCAAGATTGATCCCCAGTATCCCTGATCAGAGCCTTCCCCTCAGGCACTACTGGGTTTGGACAGGGTCACCCTCAACACCACCTCTCTGAGCACCTGGGCCGAGTATTGCTGGGAATGATACCCCAACTCAACTCCCAAGCATTGCTGAGGAGATAATCCTGCCCCTTCATTTTTTTCCCTAAAATTTTTATTTTATGCTTGAGAGCTTGATTTTTTACTGTAGCAAATAGTTCTTGGAAGAAGGGAATCACTTGTCAGTATTTTGTAGGATGTTTACCGGCATCTGTCTCATAGCGTTCTCTCTACAGCTCTGAGTGACTAGAATCAAAAATGTCTGCAGACATTTCATGTTGTTACCTGTGGGGGGAGCAGGGTCCAGGGTCAAAGAGCTCCAGTTGAGAATTCACTGGGTTTACTAACACAGTTGTTTTCTTTGCCAGAAAATATCTGCCCATTACTAAAATTCAAAAAGTCAGTTTGTCCCTTCATCCTTCTTTCAGCTGAGGCCATTTTTCTGACTTCCAAATAATAAAAACCGTGCCTGTCATTCTTATCGCTCACATTTTCCAAATATAGAAATATTTATACCACTTTATTATTTTCTTTGGCATAGCCCCAAAGGAGATTGTACTTACTTAAGAGTAAAGTAGTCATGAGCTCCATATAGATGAGGACACAAGAGCCGAGGGTATGATTAGGTGGTAGAGGTCATGCTTTTGATGCGTATGACCCTGGGCTTTATCCTCATCACTACATAAAACCACGAGGAAGCCAATAAGTACCAGATTGCCCAGTGGTTTTTAGGAAGTGGGACTCGAGAGGAAACTAAGAGAAAAGGATGCTGCAGAGAGCTGCTGGTGCTGTTTCTGCGGCAGCCCCCATGACCCCACCCCACCAGAGCACCATTATTTCCATAACTGAACTGCTTGCACGTCACCACCACCACCACCACCACCACAGGAAGCCTCTGCAACCCCTGCCCACACCTACAGGTGACAGCAGAGACGGGAGACTAACAGAGGGAGCCATAGAGAGCCACCTACGCGTCGCATTGTCGCTGCTGTGAGCAGCCCCCTTTTGCTACCTCTGACCCACCCAGATTAGAATGAAGGCCTGTCAATCCAAGGACAGTAGATAAAAGGGCCAGGAAGATTGCTCCATAGCTGGAAGCCTGCTTCAGGAGTGGAAGGGAGAAGGCAGCTGGAATAGAGAAGGGATCACTACGAAGATGATGGTTGGAGGAATCGGTCAGGATAGGAGATGTGTGCTGAAA